AAAAAGATATTACCAGCAATACATTTAAAAAAATATATATTACCAGCAATACATTTAAAAAAATATATATTACCAGCAATACATTTTTGAGAAAAAGTATTACCAACAATATATTTTAAACAGGAATAAATATTACCAGCAGTACATTTTTGAAAAAAAAGTATATTACCAGCAATACATTTTTAAAAATCTTACCAATACATTTTTGGGAAAATATTACCATTAATAAAAATCTTGTCAGCATTAGATAACCCATTGAGGTTGGTATACCGTAAAACAAAACAAACCAAATCAATACATCCATTGGAAGATATACTAACCCACCTTATTAAAAAAAATGTATATCCAAAACCCATCACCAGCTCTAGAAACCGATAGCATTTCTAACTTTGGTAATTTTGCCATACACGCCAACTGCACTACACAAGCTGACAGACCTTCATTGAAAGATATACTAACCTGCCCTATACAGAAAAAAAAGGTACGTGTAAAGCCCATCACCACTTCGAGAAAGCGATTGTATTCCTCACTTCGGTATTTTTACCATAAACATTGATCGCGCGACACAAGCTAACAGACCAGATAATGTCACAGAAGACTTCAAAGAACACATACACTATGTTCTAGATATGATCATAGCGTCAGATAAAGAAACATTTCCGCAAAATAACTTAATAGATTCTTCAAATAAAAAGGCCTGGGAATATAAATCACAAGAATGTATCATTTAAACAGAACAATTATTCGCTCAGATTATGAATTCTAGGAATTGTTAAGACCCCTGATACTCGTATTAACTCATTAATTCCCTATATAAAATCTGGCATTAATTAAAATTTTTTTTAAAACCCGGTATTATTGGTCGCCACATATAAAACATTAATAGCCACTGTCCTATTTTGGAATGATCAATTCATTGATTGATTTGTTCTTACGATTTACAGATTCTTACTGAAAATATTTTGGGATTGTAATTCGAATTCCAGTCGAATCCATTGTGTTCACTTACGTGCTAATACCCCTAGGAAAGGTATGAAACCTCTTCTTCTCGAAGCTATGAATAAATAGCAGGACAGACTGGGTTCTATAACCTTGAAGGGCAACTGGTCTACCGCAGAAAGAAATGGCAACCTACTGCGGGAAAAAATCTGCCTCGTCAGTCATGAATTGAAAGATATATGATTGTCTAAGCGTGTATCACGCATGGTACGTAACTAACTAAAAATTTTTCAATTTTCTTTTTTCTAACTAATAATTTGATTTCGGCCATATTGCGTGAACAAAAAAAAGACAGAAGTTACCAGACTAAACAGTGTTGTGGTTATTTTTACAGACCCCCTTACCAAGTTGTGACACCTAATAACGACAACAACAACAATAATGTCAAAGAACGAAGGAAAGGTATGGACCAAGATAGTGACGGTTGTACAAGTTGTTTTGGTTGCTGGCTTGCTTTTGTTTAGCGGCATATCAACACCTCTATGGGTTTTTTAATACCGAAATCTAAATATTTTTTTATATTATTTTTCGGAGATGATAACGGTTTTTAGTGATAAAATGGTTACTAATTAAGCCATAGCTGGGGGGGGACAAAAGGTGGATTCATACCTTTCCTAACAGTATTTGCGCGTAAAAGAATATAAAGAGCCCACCTGTAATCGGAACTCGTCCCTCCGATTAGCAATTCCCAGACATTATCCATTACACTATCCACACATCCAAGCTTACAGCACCTGATATAAACCAAGCGGTTACCCATCTAGCTACTGATCAGGCTCGACGCTGCTGTTTTTCAGTTCCTATTGATGTTAACTCAAAGTGTGTGGCACCATGCATCCAGGCGATTTGAAAGAAAGAAAAAGAAGAAAGGAAGGAGTATAAGTATGAGAAGCCGCTACGAAGAAGTGGGGAGGGCAGTTCACGCCCCTCAGAAGCATGGTTAGAAAGTGGGAGTGAGAAAAGTTACCAAAATGGAAAAGAGTGGAAAATCCCTAACCAGAAATAAAAGAGGTGGATATGTATTTAGAATTATCGAGTAACTCCCTGACGCCAACAGACCCAACCCGGTTTTTGACGGCGTCAAACAAAAACGAGGCCCCAACAGTCAGAAATGAAGTTCGTCTGGCCCTGGCGGCAGAAGAGAGTTCGTTCAGACCCTGGCGGGCAGAAGTCCGTTCAGTCCGGACGGCAGAGATGATAGACCAAGATAGCTGACCAAGATTCACGCAAAATTTTGACCTCTTCAACCAAGAACAATTATTTTGAAGAGCGACTTAGAACCAGACCACAGAAATAAGTTTTTCGACTTTCGTCCAAAGACACACCGAAACACAAATTTTTAGAGAGCAAACAACTTAAAGCGTTAAAGCTTTCCTAGCGAAAGAGACGCACAATCCACAGAACGGGTCGGGAGATAGATGCAGTCCCATGTATCGAACAACTAGACATAAAGTTTGTTACCTTTTTCTTTGATACTTTGAACTTTTTGAGTTTTCATTTTATTTTATTTTATGCATATTTGTGTGTTATCACCCCTGTTGAACTCAATTTAGATTACGGCCCCAACCCCTGTTTGATCTCGTCTGTCTAAGATCAATTCACAACGTGGGTAGGCAGACTGGAGATCAGTGCAGTTACCTTGGTAACCAGGCGTTGGAAGCGAGTTGGGAACGGCGAGGCTGATATCAAATCTAACCAGAATCCCACCCGAATCACCAAAAGGTTAGAACGTCACATTTGGGTGCTGCGACTGATACCAAGCCAGTTGGTCGTCACAGTACGAGACAACACGACTGACGCGACAGGCGAACGTCACGTTTGGAGCAGCGACACCCGGACGGAGCAGCGAGGAGCGAACAGTTGGCGCCGCGGCGAAGACGTCACAACTGGTGTCGTGACCGGGATAGGACCCTGGAACGGCCACGTCACAACTGGCGCCGTGGTGGATCAGGATAGAACGTCACAGTTGGTGCTGCGACCGGGGGACGACGTCACAAGTGTCTGCATGGAAAATATTTCAAACAATGATTTATATTTAATATTTTTTTTTTTTTTTTGATATTTTCAAAATTGGGTATGATATACCCATGGTTAACTTTAACTGGTGGTTAGTATTATAGGGTTAAGACGCTGGAAATCTAAAAAGTCTCCCCCGGGATACTAAACAATAATAGCTATAGACACATACTAACCAAGAAAGTATTGAATCAACTACTCTACATGGATGATCTCAAACTTTTTGTCAAAGACGGCAATGAGTTGAGGGATCTCCTAAATACTTTAAAAAATTTCAGTGAAATGTGCAAAAGTAAAATGAAGAGAAAGGAAGAATTACAGAAACACACTCAATAGATTTAGATGTTAGAGGCTGATGTTGATCGTCTGTATGTGCCCAGATCCAAAAGAGTTAGAGGATTATTTCAACTAGAACTGTCTCACAAAACTACAATAATTGGCCGTCAAAAATACCTGGAAAAGTACAGAAGACTGGATGATGATCTGTGTCAAAGAACATCAAAGTAAGAAAATTTATTCAGTAATATAGGTAGGCAACAATGGAGTTTCAAATGGGTGCAGAAGTGCAAGTAAAGCATAATACACCGACTGCAGCTGCAAAATACTGCAACGGCGAATGCAACCGTCCAGATACGGAAACGATGGCAATATAAACTGCTCCACAACCTGTTGTGGTACGATCCACCTAATTTACATAGTGGAGTACCGACCATATAAATATGGTTGGTACTGGGAAGACTGGGGAGGAAGAAGAGATCCAATCCAGAGACTCTGCCCAATTGCAACTAAGTCAACCCATTCTCCAGGAACGGTCTTCCCAAGAATATACCAAACTATCTGTAAATATTGTGTACACGTTCTTGTGTCAATACATTTTGTTTAAGTACATTTTGTGTTGTATTATTATTATTCCATGCTTTATTCAAGTTTCAACACAGCCAATACTCTATTCGTTCCAAACTAGATGATGAAGACAAACTCCGTACCCATCAGTGGCTACGTCGTGTAGGAACAAGAGGTTTTATTCTTGCTGCAGAGGAACAATGCTTGCTAACTAGAAATCATGAAGCACACATACTGAAAAATTGTGTTAGCCCAAAATGCAGGTTCTGTGATAAATATCCAAAAAAAATTGACCATCTTTTATCAGGTGCGCACAGTACTGGCTCCTACTGAATAAAAAAAAAACTCGGCATCACAGAGTGGGCCAATATCTGCACTGGAAGATCTGCAACTTCTACGGAAAGGAAACTGGTACAAACACCACCCAGGCCCGGAGATAAGACCTGTAACAATTTTATGGGATTTTACAATACACACAGACAGAACAATCAATGCTAATCGCCCAGACATCGTGGTTAGAGACCACAAAGACAAAATGTGTTTCCTTATTGACATGGCAGTCCCTCCAGACTGCAATGTATATTTGAAGATTTAAAAAATAAACTATCAAAATACAAGGACCTTGAAATCGAAATAATCAACTACAACAATTCCAGTTGTAGTTGGAGCCCTCGAATTGATTGGAAAAGTCTAACTGAAGGAATCCCTGGTAATCTATGCCTTAAAGAAATCCAAAAAATTGTTCTCACAAGTACAACACACATTATACGTAGGATTTTATCTATGTAAAAAATGTGTGATTTTTTTATTCAAAATTGCTCAGTGGAAAATGTCATGATGTCATTTCTGAGCTTAGGTCTCTGGCCGGCACCCGGGAAGATATGAGTACACACCAAAAATCAAAGGAAATGAATAATAATAATAATAATAATTAATAATAAAAACAATAATAATAATAATAATAATACCAATAATAGTGATAATAAAGCACATCAAAATATAAAATCTGATAGTTGTTAAAGTAAAAAGCCAACAACGAAATTTGTGAAGATGGCGGAATTAAAAACAGAACAACATTTGGGCTAATAATTGCATTATGCAAATAACTGGTCTATGAAGAATGACCATTTAAAGAGGCAGTGATGGATAGGCTAGTGGGTGAGGCTGTTGAAGCCAGGGGTCGTGAATCTGTCGACAGATCAATAACCGGGGACTGGGTCAAGTCACTGAGGATCGAGATGATGGTTCAAATTGCCGATTCAGACCCATGTTGTCGTATGTATTTTGGTTGGCAATTTTCACTAAATTTTATCTTACGACTTTTTATGAGCAATCAATGACTGACGACAAAAGGAATTCACGGGCCTCATGAGTTTTCATTGTCCCCACGAGGGGAAGAAGACCCTGCTCCAGTTTCTGTACTTAATCTCTTTTCTCACTTGGATTGATTTGTCTCCAAGGACATAGAGAAGGAATGCGAACAACAACAAAAACAACAATAATAATGAAGTAGTAGTAGTAGTAGCAGTAGAGTAACACGAGAACATTAAGAGAGTAAAATCAGGGATGATTAATATACAAGTGAAAAACGAAAAAAAAGAAGGAAAATAAGAAGGAAGAAGATAGAAAAAAGATGATAAGAAGAAGAAAATAATGAAAATTAACAACGAAGACAAGAAAAGAGGGAAAGAAAAATGGAGAAAAGAAAAGAGGAAAAGAAAAAGAAGTGAAGAAAAAAGAAAAGAAGAAAAAAGAAAAAAGAAACGAGAAAAATAGAAGAAAAAGGAAAGAAAAGAATAAAAAGGAAGGGATTAAATAAAAGAAAAGAAAAAGAAAAAAGATAGAGAAAAAAGAGAAAATGACGCTTTAGATGAAGAAGAAGAAGAAAAAGAAAAAGAAAAACAATGAATTTAACATAAGAAGACGAAAAATGAAAAAGTTAACATCACGAAAAAAATGGCGTCACTCTACCGACTTCATAATCGCACGGGAGAACGTCTATTTACGCATGCGCAGTATAGTCGACTCTAAGTGGTTGCCAAGTTTCAACAAGGCCATGCCTCAACATGGCTGCATATTTAGTGGAACAACTTCGGATGCAATAGAATCTTTGCCTCCTCCTGAATATAATATATATATATATATATATATATATATATATATATATATATATATATATATATATAGGGTGTATCAAAAATACTCTTACAAATTTTGGGGCCGGGTCATTCACAGCAAAACAAGGACAAAAGTTCATACAAACATATCTCCGCAAATCCTTCGTTTTTAAGTTATTAAGTTTAAAGAAAGTTTACGATAGATGGCGCTGTTGCTGTGTAGGCTAGGTTTCATTTGGCATTCATGTACATTGTGGCTAGACTGTCTTCAAGGTCTAACGTTTTTAGTAGTGAGTTAACTGGGAAGTATTCCGTTTCACAGTAGTAGGATATTCATATCGATAGCAGACAGATATGATTTTACACACGACCGCGCGAATGGTAATGGACGCGAGGCTGCGCGGCTGTATCAGATTGCTGAGACAGCATCTATAACACCTCAGACTATGAATCGAGAAAGACCAAGATCCGCTCATACACCTGACCACGATGGACACATTCTGCAGGCTGTCGGGAACGAGCCAGGTATGAGAAAACGTCAAGTGTCCCTAGCATGTCGTACATCTCATAGTACCGCATAGAGGGTACTTCAAGAGCAGGTTCTGTATCCGTAACATTTGCAGGATCTTTCGCCCTCTGATCTCTCACGACCGGGGAACTTTTGCCGATAGCTTATCGCACAAACTGCCGATCCGTTGTTAGACTCTTCAATTTTGTTTACGGATGAGGCAATATTTGAAAGAGATGGGGTAACAAATTTATACAACCAGTATTTGTGGGCGGATCAGAATCCCGATGGTACAGTACAGTCTAGACACCAGTATCAGCTTACGATTAATGTATGGGTTGCAATTGTATTTGACTGTCTGGTCACAGGAGCTGTCTACAGGGACTTTATTTCGAACACACTTCCACACCTGCTAGAGGATGTATCCTTGCTAATACGAAGATATACGTGGTTTATGAATAATGGTGCTCCAGCATCATTTTAGACACAATGTTCGCGATGCACTGGCTGACATCTACCATGAAAGATGGATAGGTAGGGGATGAATGGTTGCATAGCCTGCACGTTTCCCCAGTCTCGGTCCTTTGGATTTTTATCTGTGGGGTTACCTGAAACAACTGGTTTATGCAGCAGACATTAATAATGCACAGACGCTTAATCCTGCGAATCCATTCGACGTCGTGTGGGAGTATGTGAAAGGGTCCATCAGTCAAAGATCCGACGGGTGTATGCGTGTGTAGAAGCAAGCAGAAGACATTTTGAACATTTGTTATGAGTTGCTGTGTTGAGGTAGAACGATGGCCTTTTGGACATGTTTATATGTGACAGGAACTCCGCACCCAATGTTGGTAAAACTGTTTTTGATACATCCTGTATATACATGCATATTTTAAGACATTTATTATGTTTATACATTCATTTTATAGATACAAATATTTAAGTAAATGCTCTGTTTATAATAAAACAGTATTAAACAACATTTACCGGCCTGAAATTGTAATAGAAAATATGCGTCCTCCGACAGGAATCGAACCCGTATCCTATACAGAACCCTCATGTAGCCTGAGGTGCTTTTACCGATTGAGCCACAGAGGAGCGTTTCAGTTAGCAAGATCGATTTTACTGTCTTTAAACTACAGTTTTCCATGATTTTCTCTCGTACATTCATATCTGCTCGATGCGTATCCAAATGTAAACAAATGACGTCACACTTTATGAAATGGACAAAGTCCAATAATTATTTTAAGACATTTTTATGTGTATATATTCTTTTTTATAGATACAAATATTTAAGTAAATGTCCAAGAAATCTTCATAGAAAATCTGCGTCGTCCGTGCAGATATGAATGTACGGGAGAAAATCCTGGAGAATTGTATTTTAAAAACAGTAAAATCGACCTTGCTGACCGAAACGCTCTTCTGTGGCTAAATCGGTAAAAGCACGTCAGGCTATATGACGGTTCCGTATAGGATACAGGTTCGATTCTTGTCGGAGGACGCATATTTTCTATGAAAATTTCTCGGACATTCAGGCCGGTATATGTCGTTAATACTGTTTATTATAAACAGTGCATTTACTTAAAAATTTGTATCTATAAAAAGAACGTATAAACATAAAAAAAATGTCTTAAAATAATTGTCGGACTTTGTTCATTTCATAATGTGTAACATCATTTGTTTACATTTGGATACGCATCGAGCAGATATGAATGTATGAGAGAAAATCATGCATAATTGTATTTTAAAAACAGTAAATTCGACCTTGCTAACCGAAACGCTCCTCTGTGGCGAAATTGGTAAAAGCACCTCAGGCTATATGACGGTTCTGTATAGGATACAGGTTCGATTCCTGTTGAGGGACGCATATTTTCTATGAAAATTTCTCGGACATTCAGGCTGGTAAATGTTGTTTAATACCGTTTATTATAAACAGAGCATTTACTTAAATAATTGTATCTATAAAAAAAAGAACCTATAGACATAAAAATGTCTTAAAATAAATGTCGGACTTTGTCCATTTCATAATGTGATACTGTTATACTGAAACATACCTATTCAATTGTTAATAGACTCTCCCACATATAATAAGTAGTATTAGTAGCGGTCGCCAGTGAGTTCAGTGAGTTGGTCCAGTCAGTCAGTCGATGTCGGACATTAAAGTATCAACCACCACAACTAGATTGCTGCGTCATTAACTATTATTTTCAAGTTCCTAACGTTTTGTACGTCGAACCTTTTTCTAGGACCGACTCAGTGAAATACCAGCCTCCACTGTGAAAACTACTCTACAACAGATACATGCATACACACACACACACACACACACACACACACACACACACACACACACACACACATATATATATATATATATAATTTGAAGTGGCTGAAAAGTTCGTTACTGGATCCTTTTCCCAAATTCAGTATTTTAATGAAGAAACGTCAAAATAAATAAATTTAAGGAGAAAACTTTTCAGAACCCCCTTATCTTTGAATATATGTATAATGTTATCTATTATAGGCAGCGTAATGTGGAACTAGAAGAAAATACATTTAATAACAAAAATAATAAAAGCAGTTAAATTAAAACGACCTTCTTAAAAATGCATCATGTCTTCTTGAAGGGAAAAACATGCGACAGTTCCTTCAATTTTCTTTCTCATTCTTTACGGCGATTCAAACAAAATGTCTTTATTTTTTGATCGCTATTTGTTTTGAAGTCAATTGCTTTTGTTCTTTCCGTTTATTTGTTTTTGTTTTTTTGTTTTTTTTTTTTGTTATTGTAGTTTTCATTCATTTACCATTTTCTTATTTTCTTTATTTCAATAAATTCACTTGTTTCACGTTGACGCTTTTTTTTTTTGTTTTTTGTCTTTTTGTTCTTTTTTTTCATAATTTTCTTTTGTAAAGAACGGTACCTACATTTTCCAAGTTTTGAAAATTTAGAACAGTGATGCATATCTGCTTGCAAAGAGAAGAAAGAAGAAAAAAAAAGAGTAAAGACGAACCGATGAAAAGGCAGAAACGGCATGATAAAAAAATATAAAAAGAAAGTTTGTTTTGTTTTTTTTTTGTTTTTTTAACAGCGAAAGACGACGTAGAAGCTCCGGTGGACCAAATTAGGTCAGCCATTGTGTTTCTAATGCAACCATAAAGCATTACTTCTACCTTCGTTATATTCATCTATTACGATTTCTTCTTGTTTTTCCTTTTCTACATCACTAATTGGTTATATCCCTCTTCGTTATCTATCTATCTATCTATCTATCTATATATCTATCTATCTATCCGTGTTCTCTATCTTTCTATCCGTGTTCTCTATCTATCTATCTATCTATCTATTCATATCTATCTATCTATCTATCATCTATCTATCTATTCATTCTTTATCTTTATCCATCTATCATATCTATCTATCTATCTATCTGAATGTATCTATCATATCTGAATGTTCTATCTATCTATCTATCTATTCATTCATTCATCTATCTATCTATCTATCTATCTATCTGAGTGTGCTCATTATCTATCTATCTATCTATCTATCATCTATCTATCTATCTATCTATCTGAATGTGTTCATATTCATCTATCTATCTATCTATCTATCTATCTATTATCTATCTATCTATCTATCTAGATGAATATGTTCATTCATCTATCTATCTATCTATTCATCCAATCTATTTATATCTATCCAATCTATCCCCTATCATATATCTATCTATCTATCTATCTATTCATCTGAATGTGTTGATATTCATCTATTCATCCATCTATCTATCTATCTATCTATCTATCTATCTATCTGAATGTGTTCATATTCATCTATTTGTGTTCTTTATCTATCTATCATTATCTATCTATTCATCTATCTATCTATCTATCTATCTATCTCTGAGTGTGCTCATTATCTATCTATCTATCTATCTATCTATCCATCTATCTATCTATCTATCTATCTATCTGAATGTGTTCATATCTATCTATCTATCTATCTATCTATCTATCTATCTATCTGTGTTTATCTCTACATGTCCGTTACAGTTTTACAAGTGATTTTTTTTTTGTTTTTTTTTTGTTAGTGGATATTAGAGATTTTAAATTTTCTTCTTTTTCAAATTATTCATAAATATACACACACACACATACGCACACACACACACACATATATATATATATATATATATATATATATATATATATATATATATATATATATATATACATAAAAATATATACAGGTACATGTCCATGCCCTATGTTTCGCACGCACTCATACGCGCGCACATACACACATTTCTGTAGTTCACTGCTACTAACAAGCAGAATTTTTTTCTTTCCTGATGATGGCCATGTTGGCCGAAACTAGTCGAGGAATCTAACTGAAATAATAAAACGAAAAAATATTAATATACAACCCAGTGTGTCTGAAGATTTAAATTTTGAATATTTTTATTGTTCAAAAACATATATATTTACATATATATATATTTACACACACACACACACACACACACACATATATATATATATATATATATATATATATACATATGCAAATTATTTTCAGATAGAGTGTATCTGTAAAGGAACCAATTAATGAATAAAAAAGACGAGGAAAAGAATAGTTTATATATATATATATATATATATATATATATATATATATATATATATATATATATATATATATATATATATATATATATATATATAATAATTGATAATTTAATAAAAATCCAAAATCACCTCATATGGTGAATATTCTCTTTCGGCAGACGAAGATATCAGTCGTCTGTCTTAACCACCCCGGTGTGAACTGAATTCGTGTCAGAAAAAGAAATTTAACACATCAGGTGATCGGAAATTACTGGCGAATGAACGAAAATTTTAATTTCCAAAGAAAATATAAAAAACTACTGAAAAAAAAATGTCTTGAGGGCTTTATACTGATCAACCAATCGAATATGATTTAGGTTAAATTGAATCTAAGAGAAAACGAAAAGAATTAGAAATTATTATCTTATAAATGTGTCATGCCCAAAAGTATGAATGTTGGTACCATTACCGAAGGCCTGAATGATCTTTTTCGTCTCACCATTGCTCAGTTGGGAGGACAGTGGGTTTGACACAAAACTATTTTAACCTATTCTCTTTCTACCTGAATAACTCGAAGGGTTTTTCAGTGATTCTTACGACAAATGGTGTCAAGATGGCAAAACGTCTGAACTGAAAACCTGAGAAAAAGAAACTCAGTTTAGTGTTATTTTAGATATCAAACATTTTGTGGAATGGACAATTATGCTGTAAAACAATTAGGACAATTTTGCCATTACCCACTAAATCTGTCACTTAGCGATAGGCATATCGCATTTTTTCCTTTCTGATTGTGAGCAAACTGTTTCTTTGGAGTCTCTATTCTCCTTCGATCTTCCTCATTTCTCGTGTGCGATTTTCAAGGCATTACAAAATGTCATCGGTAGAACCACATATGTGTTTTTCTTTATGCTTTCACCAGACTTGGCGAAATTGTCCCTCATTCACTGCAGTAGAAGAGATTAGATTTTATATAAAAATCTATCTCAGCTCGTTCATTATTTATCTATCTATCTATCTATCTATCTATCTATCTCAGGTCGTTCATTATCTATCTATCTCAGGTCGTTCATTATCTATCTATCTATCTATCTATCTATCTATCTATCTATCTATCTATCTATGTCAGGTCGTTCATTATCTATCTATCTATCTATCTATCTCAGGTCGTTCATTATCTATTCATCTATCTATCTATCTATCTATCTATCTATCTCAGGCTGTTCATATCTATCTATCTATCTATCTATCTATCTAAAGTCGTCCATTTTCTATCTTTTTCTCTATATATCTCATCTATCTATCTGTGTCTATACATATATATATATATATATATATATATATAGAGAGAGAGAGAGAGAGAGATTGAGAGAGAGGGAGGGAGGGAGAGAAAGAAGAGAGATTTTATATAGCAGTCTAGCACTTGTTTAGTTTCAAGGATATTTCTTTTATCAACTATATGTGACCGAAGACATTCGCTTTCCGACCATGAGTCATGGGTTCGAATCTCTCCATCGTCGATTTGTCAGGAATGTTATGCTATCGGCTTGGGAAAACGGCCCCACCCTGCAGTACCGTTAGATAGTACCTGAAACCAAACGTTGTGAGCGAAATTGGGCAATCGGAACTGTTCGAAAGCCGTCGATGCTAGCACGAAGTCACCAGTCATCGTGACTGAGGTTTTGAACGTACTGGCCGTGTTCAATCAGCTGATCACACCAGATTATACGCTCTCTCTTCCAGAAACTTTAAGTTTCACTCAGAAATGTTGCAGTTTGAACCACATGCGGGCCCTGTGGGTATTGAACAAACACGAATGTGCCAGAGAAGGCACCCCAAGTACACGCCGAGCTGGTGGAGCATTTAATATCTTACTGTGTTTTCGAAAGGCATTTTTCTTTGTGTTTGTGCACATTCAGACTTTCGTGCCGGACGTTCCATTGTCTGTTACTCCACCATCCTGATAAATTTCTGCATCTGCATTCATTTCACGTCCCCAATTTGTAATTCAGAACTTAGACTGTCTCTTTTACTGACAACCATTCAGTTTAGTTCTTACGTTTTGCTTTTCTTGACGAACTAGCTCGTTTAGTTTTCTTTTCTGCAGTCCCTAGACATGTGAAATGTTTTCAAGAGACGAGCTTGACAGAATTTAAGCTGCCGTAAACACCCTAAACACAATAATGCTAAACACAACAATGCTAAACACAACAATTCTAAACATAACAATGCTAAACACAACAATTCTAAACACAACAATGCTAAACACAACAATGCTAAACACAACAATTCTAAACACAACAATTCCAAAGACAACAATGCTAAACACAACAATGCTAAAAATAACAATGTTAATATCGTACGGATCAAGGCCAAATTAGTGGGCAGTCATTAGACAAAGGAACTAGCGTGCGAAACAATTTAGTTAACTGTTGCATTAATGTAGGCGCATTTTAGCTTTTAGGCCGAAATTAATCGGGTATTTATCCACCATGGTGAGGCATTGTGGTGATTGGACTATAAGTAATCAAGAACTGATATTCAAATTCAGTCAGTTAAGCAAAATGAATGTGTGGAATGGGGCAGTTAACCAAAAATGGTTTTCAAAATGAGGCAGTGAACCTAACTCAGTTTTCAAAATGAAACAGTTAACCAAAATCGGTATGGAATATGGCTCAGTTTACCAAACTCGGCTTTCAAAATGAGGTAGTTAACCAAAATCGGTTTTCAAAATGAGGCAGTTAACCTAACTCAGTTTTCAAAATGAGACAGTTAACCAAAATCGGTATAGAATGTGGGTCAGTTAACCAAAACCGGGATACCAAATGGGGCAGTTAACCAAATTCTATGTAAAATGGGGCATTTAACCAAAAACGGTTTTCAAAATGAGACAGTTAATCAAAATTGGTTTTCAAAATGAGGCAGATAACCTGAGTTTTCAAAATGAGACAGTTAACAAAAATCGGCATGCAAAATGGGTCAGTTAATCAAATTCGGCTTTCAAAATGAGGCAGTTAACCAAACTCTCTATGTAAAATGTAGCAGTTAAACAAAAACGGTTTTCAAAATGAGACAGTTAACCAAAATAGGTTTTCAAAATGAGGCAGTTGACGAAAATCGGTTTTCAAAATGAGGCAGTTAACCGAAATCGTAAGTAAAATGGGGCAGTTCACTACACTCTGCAAAATGAGTCAGTTAACTACACTCAGTATGCAAAATTGGGCAATTAACTAAATTCGTTGGGCAATTAACCAAAATTGTTTATATATATGTTGGTTAAACATAGAAAGAAAGAAAGAAAGAAAGAAAGAAAGAAAAAAAGAAAGAAAGAAATGTAAGCAAAAAAAGAAAGCCTGGTCTAAAGAAAGGAATTGGTAGTAGAAAGATCAAAGAAAAGAAAGCGTGAATGTTTCAGTATTGATTCTGATGATGGCGGGTCTGTGAATGTGAAGGCGTAATCGAATTGTTCAATTACAGATTACAAATAGGATAATTTTTCTCATTACGATACGTTATTATCAAGTTCTTAAATCAGCACATTTTACGTTAATATTATATTTAGAACATTTTGCTGTTGAGACAGACAGGCACACAAAAGACTGTAAGGAAAAGAAGGAAGGAAAACAGAGCAACTCTTTTCGTGTTATTTTCTTAGATGTTTTTTAGCAACCTGTGAAGAGTTTTAAATTGCATTTTAAAGACACTTTCTTTTCATACAAATGCATTTTACACTTTTAGAATTTGACACCCGTTTTTTTTTTGTTTTTTTTTTTAAATTCGAGCGTTTTGGGGTTAGATAATCAAATTTGCATTTATCAAAAAATAGTACAGATATGTAATAAACGTAAAACCTTATTGCAAAAACTGACACAGACTTCGGTAGCCTAGACTACAGGATGTCTGAAAAGTAATATATATTTGATTTGTTTTTGTTAAGAAAATCACGCGAGCTCACACACACACACACACACACACACACTTGTGCAAATTAGTTGAAACAACCGCTTTAGTTTCCTTTCTTTCACCATGCGGTCAGTCTTAGACC